GCTGCTGCAAGCTCGAGCTTCACTCAAATCAGCTCGAGCCGAAACGGCTTATATTTGGTAAAGCGATAGCCTGCTCGCTCTGGCGGGGCCTCTTTTGAAGGGTCGGAGGAGCACGAAACCTGAAAAGTAGTATTGTATAGCGATAGCCTGCTCGCTCTGGCGGGTTCGGAGGAGCACGAAAGAGGAGATATAGCATGATATAGCGACGCCCTGCTCGTTCTGGAGGGGCCCCCATGGAGGGGTCGAATGAGCACGAAACCTAAGACATACTATAGTAGAATGATCCCCCGCTCGCTCTGGCGGGGCCTCCCTGGACGGGGGTGAGAATCCCATGGCCCTGCCAAACGTTCTGTACTTTGGAAAGCTGACATTGCTAAAAGCCCATAGGCCCTGCTACAGGTTCGTAAGTTAGGAAAGCTGACATGGTAAGAGTCTCATATCCGTGCCACACGTTCGTGATAGTGTTCTATTCAACATGCGAGGACAACAACTTCGATTCGTACTTCCCCCGTCGATAATGAAGCTCTGCCTCGCCACCCATTCCCCCGACCAACTCTACCTCGGCCCAGGATAAGCAACTCTCATGGCCGAAGCCAAGATGGTCTACACACAACCATCCTGGGCGTGGGATGGCCTTGGCTGGAGATGGTGGTGAGCAGGCTCGGGCAGGACGCAAAAGGGACCGAGGAGGCAGGGGAGGGGAGCCTCGGGTGAATCCTTCGCCTGTTTTTTCTCCGGACAACCAAAACATCATAAACATATAAACTGTTGGAGATCCGCGCGGATTCCTCGGATCCGCAAGGGACCCCCCCGTCCTAGCGCGTGGAGCGCGCCAAGGCAAGCGCCTGAGGCGTCGCCCATGGCATCCCGGCGCCGATCCGAGAAATCCGCGCGGACCTCCGAATGTGTACATATTTATATGTCATCCTTAGCCGTCTCGGCCTCGTGCACGATCGCACTCGTCCTGCCCCACTTGTTTCCGGAACCTCGGGCCTCCTGGGCGGGGAGGCAGGGCCACACGTGCAGCGATGGTGCGACGTCTGGGGGTGCCCTCTCGGGCCCAGCCCATCCACACACGGCCCGTGGTGAAAAAAGGGCCCTGGGAATAGGGTCGGACCTCGGTGGCCAGCGGTTTGACAACAATCACGACGCCGGAAACCATGAAAGACGACGGCTGGGAATGGGGAGACAGAAGCCAACCACAAAAATTTGGATCGACGGCGCCTTGGATCCAAATTGAGGTCGTAGCTACGGCAGGGCTGTTGCGGTGCGAGCTGGTCACTGTGGCGGCAGGAAGGGCAGGAGCGGGAGGGGAGAAGGCCGCGGACGGCAGGAGTGGCCTCAAGGCGGGAACACGTCGGGATGCGCGCTGGAGGCAGGCACAAGTCCTGGTAGTTGTCAGTGCGTCTGCAGATGTATTGCACAACAAGAACCACAACAGACGGGGTGCAAAATTTACTGATTCGTTTGGTTCAAAGCTTCAGGGTGCCCCACGAAAACGTACACACAGGTGGATAGCACCACATGACCTGGGTCCGCCCGCCCTCGGGGAGAAACTGCCGTAGTGGCCACCCTTCCTCCTCCTCCTCCTCCTCCTCCTCCTCCTCCTCTCCTCCTCCTCCTCCTCCTCCTCATCTCATCATCATCATCATCACTCCTCCTCCTCCTCCTCTCCCTCCTCCTCCTCCTCCTCATCATCATCATCACACTTGTGATATACATGCCGCAATTTCGGAAACACGTCCAACCCGCGGCGAATCCGCGCCGGTACCACGTCGAATCCGCATCCCATGCGCGCTGATTCCCCGCCGAATCCGCGCCGAACCTGCGTCGAACCCGCATTGGACACCAAAAAACAACAATTTACACGACAGGCGAAGCCAAAGAAAATGTAGCGTAACATGTCCTGTTTGCCGTTTTTCTCATCGTTTTCCCCGTTGCCCACCTCCGCCCACCCTCGTCGTCCTCCTCTACAACTTCGAGAACGGCGGCATCTTCTACGGTATAGTTTGTGGTGCGACAAACATGTATGACATGTGCTTTTAACCTTTTTCTCGGCAGGTTTGACGCCTACGGTTGAGCGTGGCTGACTCATGCGTGTGCCTGGTGGTATGTTCATGGTGTGTCTCGCTGAGTTCCACGATTTTGCTGAGGGGCATGCGCGTGGGTTCCGAACTGTTGTTTCTGCTGCGGGGCTCCTTGAACTCCTAGTTCATGCTGCCAATGTTGTGAAACTTGCTATCCGTATTCGAAATGTATGACGCTGGTGGGCGGCAAACGCTGCAAATGTAGTCTTGGAAAACGGTGTTCTCCATCATTGGTCGTATTCTCGTGAAGAGGGGGGGGCTCGTCTCCTTCCCTGATACGGCGTTGGCGGATAGCTACACAATCCACCTCCTTGCCGTGCCTCCTTCTGTTCGTGTTGTTGCCGCTCGTCGTCCCCGTCGCCTTTTTCCCCTCCCCTTCCTCCTGCTCCTCCCCCCCTTCGCCTGTTCGTTCTCTACAATCGACCCGTGTCGCAAGGACGCACGATAATGATGCAAGGGCCTTGGAATGCCAGATCGAAGCTTCTCGAGCGGGGCGCGGCCAACGGAAATTGCCAACGATGCGTCGAATGGGCAAGGATGGAGCATGGGTTCCCTTGGTGAGGTCGCCCACCTTGCTACGCAGGTCGGTTATACCTCTTCCTTCTTCTCCCTTTCCTGCTTTTCCACATTCTCTCCACACCTTCGCCCCAGAGGAGCGGGCTGCATGCTGTCCAAGGCTTCGAGGGGGATCCAACCGTAGCGACAGGAGTCCCTCCTGAGAGCAGACGGCCTGGTTCCTCCACCCCCCCTTTTCCTCCAGAGGTTGCGAGCAAGACGACGAGGAGGAGGACGACGACGAGCTACACTGGAAACCCATGCCAAGCCACCCTGATTGCCTCCAAGGGGCCCTCGGTTTCTTGGGTTTCGACGGTTTTGCTATGGAACGCGTGGCGTTCCCACGCCAGAAATCAATGGACGTCTCGGGGTCTCATTTGTTTTGTGGGCGGTTTCTTGTGGTCGAACTCCGACTGTGCAACTGGCATCGTGCCGTGGAATCGGCGGGAGGGGCTTGAGCAGGAACCGACCGTCCCTACGACGGAACCATGGTCTAAACACATAAGCAATCCGAACAAAGAGCCAATCTGTTACAGCAAAACAAAGGCAGCAGCGTGGAATGGGGATTCCCCGCTGCATTGTCCCGGCGGAGATCCGCGGGTCACGCCCGGAGGCCGCGAGAAAGACATCCACCTCCGGGCCCATATCGTCCTTGACGTCCACCACCACATCCTCCTCCGTCCTCCGCAACAAGCACCTGCTCGTGCACCTTCTCAAGCAACACTACCCTGGCATCCACCTCCCCATCGTCCTCCCCTTTCTTCTGGCCATCCTCCTCCTCCTCCTCCTCCTCTTCCTCCTCTTCCTCCTCCTCCTGTTTGCCCTCGTGTTTGCCCTCCTCCTCCTCCTCCTCGTCCTGCTCCTTCTCCTCCTCCCCCTCCCTGATCCACTTGCGTGGAACGCGGGGGGGGCAGAAATTGTCCGTTTTTAAATATAGTGAGTTTTCTGCCCTCCCTCTGCTTCCCCTCCCTCGCCCCTTATTTCCTCCTGCCTCCCACCCTTCCTCCGCTTCAGATCCCCTGGAGGAGGACGGCCGGTGAGCGGTGCAGTTGCGGTTGCGCGACCGTGGGCGGGTTGAAATGTGTCGCCCAGCTGGGGTTGCGGTAGCGCGCCCGCGGGCGGGTCAAAATGTGTCGCCCAGTTGCGGTTGCGGTTGCGCGCCCGCGGGCGGGCCGAACTGTGTCGCGTAGTTGCGGTTGCGGTTGCGCGCCCGCGGGCGGGTTCAAATGTATCGTCCAGTTGCGGTTGCGCGCCCGCGGGCGGGTTCAAATGTATCGTCCAGTTGCGGTTGCGCGCCCGCGGGCGGGTTGGAATGTGTCGCCCAGTTGCGGTTGACGCCCCAATGCGGCATCCCCAAAACGTCTTGGCTGGCATCAGCAAACCCGCTGACAAGTTTCAGCTGGTCCAAGCAGCCCTTCAATGGTTTCTGGGGCGGCCTCGACACCCCAACCATTGGGCGCGAAACACCCTCGGGGCCGGCGGCGTTTAGACCACCTGGGGCAACACAGGGGCGCCTGTTGAGGCCACCTGGGGCAACATTGGGGGGGCCATTTGTGCGCAACCCCAAGCCTTACCCCCTTCGTGGGAAGACAGGGAGGACGGAGAGGAGGGGGAGGGGGAGGACGGGGAGGTGAGGCAGGAGGGGGAGGAGGGACTGCGGCCATCGCAAGTGCGAGACAACCAGACAATTCCCAAAGAGCAAAACGTTCACCCCTGGAGCAAAATCTAAGGCGGGTTCTTCCCGTATTGCTCTCGAACACGGCGTGCACCCCAGAACTGAAACTACGGAAAGTTCCTCCCCTCAAACTCTCAAGCCTGAGCCTCAGCGGCACGCACTTTGGCGCGCCGCCCCAATAAGGCCCTGTGGGGCGCCACTCCCACGGAGACCCCTGGACCCAGGCCGTGGGAAGGATGGGCAAGGGGCGATCCAAGCGACGAGGTGCAAGAGTCTCTCCCCCGCCCGCCCCTGCCGAACATCATGGTTGCCCACGACCCTCGGACAGGCATGGGCAATCGGGCTGCCACCCGCCTATTTACCTGGGAAGGGGACCCAATGGCACAGGTGCCAGGAGGGGAGAGGAGGGGAAGGAGGGAGAGGATGGAGAGGAGGGGGTGGAGGACCTCTGGAGGAGGGGGAGGAGGGGGAAAAGGGCGAGGAGGGGGAGAAGGGGGAGAAAAGGGGAGGAGGAGGAGGAGGAGGAGGAGGAGGAGGAGGGGGAGGACGAGGACGAGGAGGAGGAGGAGGAGGAGGAGGAGGAGGGGAAGGAACGCTCGGGGGGCGGTCCGCAGATCGCCCCTCCCCTGCTCTGCCTTCGCCGCCCCCCACCCGGTCGACGAGCGGCGGGGGCGGCGGCGGACCGAAAGCCCGCCGGGGCCGATCCGACAGGTCCCAGTGCGTGTCGTCGACAACCTGGCTAGGGCGGGAAGGATGTGTTTTTCCGAGCGCATCTTTGGGAGAGGGGGAGGAGGGGGCGAACGGGGAGAGCGCGAAGAACACCAGCCGATCCACTAGTCAGTCACTGCACCGCGGCCATCAGGAATAGAGCACGGAGCTGGGGCAGGAGGGAATGAGGGAGAGAGGGGGGGCTGGGGGGCGAGGGGTGACCAGGGAAGGGGAAGGAACGAGGACGAGGGGGAGGAGGATGGACGAATAAGGGGGGGACTGGTGGTGAGGAGAAGGCGGGGGGGCACTGAGAGGAAGAAGGCGAGGATGACGGAAATGATGCGATGCGACAGGCCGTGGATCAGGAAGGGAAAGTCCCATCCCTTACAAAATTTCGCCCAGCCGCAACATACTGTGCGTCTGGTGTCGTGAATCATGTGCTTTATATGAGGTATGTCGTTTTTCGCGTGAGTGAGTCGGTCGATTGCTACACTGAAGCTTCCTGCGCTGCCCTCGAAGGCCCAAGAAACGTGTTCGGGAGATCTGGGGTTACCTTGGACCATGCGGGGTGGTCTTTCTGGGTCCTCTCAAGAGCGTGGGGTCTTTTTTGACACGTCTCCAGGACCTCCGAGAGCGACTTCAAGACGACGTTGGCCCAGAATTCCCCCGAAACCCCGCCGAAGCCAGGGGTATCCCCTTGATTCCGCGCGTGGCGTTCTCGTACCCATGTTGCACGAGCAATCACTTTACATATCATATAGTACCATACCTGGCAGGCCAGTATCGCCCCCCCCGTCAAACCCTGCCCAAGACAGGAATGCGGTGCGCCCGAGTTGATTTTACAAGCGCACCTTGAAACATCATTTCGCAAACGATGCCATGCGGTCCACGTGCGTACGCACATGTCGTACCCTTCAAACAAAAAATGAATATTCCAAACGATTGGTTTTACGAATCGACAGTGCCAGATTCCTGTGGACGCGCATTGACGTCATACCATAATCAACAATTACGTTGTGCGCCTCCCTGGTATGAAAAGAGGTCATACGGGCCGCACGCGCGCGTGCCCGAATCATTCAAAAATGATCGCGTGCCCGCCACTTTCATCAACACACAACGCGGGCCAAAACAATAACTACAAACACCAATAGCCGTTTTATATGCATTCAAACCAGCAAAACCATACACGTTGGCTTTGCAATGCAATGTGTGCCAAAATCCGGCGACCCTGTCGGCGTGTGCGAGGGATTTGTGCGACCTCACAAAACAAGTTTTTCATTGCGGGGGGGATCTGCAGTTGAGGCACCTTGAGCCCAGGAGAGCCACAGAGGAAAACAGGAAAACCAAACAAACACATTAAAACAACACGCGCGTTCACATGGAAAAGCAGGAACACGCTAGAAATACATGTGACGGTCTGTATCTTAAATCATGCAGACGCTCCAACCTTAAAACTATAGTGTAGCAGCCCTTACAACAATAACCCTTGTGTGGCGCTTGCAAAACAAAGATTTTAAACGTGGGGGATCTGCAGTGGCCTCCACAATTGGAATCCTCACATAGCAGCCGGTCTAAAAAAAGGGGTTCCTTTTGTGGCGGCCTTACAGCAACTTTTGTGTTCACAAGGAACGATACGAAAACAACTGGGAAGGCCTGTGGTCGTCGGTATGTTTATGGTGCAGACGCTCCACCACTAAAATTCTTGTATACAGCCTTTACACAAAGGATTTCGTGTTGCGGCGGCCTTACAACACAGATTTTGATTGTGGGGGGCTTACAGTGGCATCCACAATAATAATCCTCTCATAGCAGCCAACACAAACGGATACAAAGACATCCTTTTTGTACAAGCTGCTAAAATACGATTTTAAGTGTGGAGCGTCTGCGCCATAGAAAATACTGACTGGCACAAGTCTTCCTAGAATTGTGCTGTTTCTTCTTGTGGAGACACAATTGCTCTTGCGCTTCTCATGTTTATCCGGTTTTCCTCCTCAGCCTTCCTGGGCTCGAGGTGCCGCCGCTGCAGATCCCCCCGCAAGTACTAACCTTTTTTTTTGTGTAAGGCCGCCACACAAGGAATGCATGTGTAAAGGCCGTTGCAAGAGGATTCCAATTGTGGGGGCCACTGCAGATCCCCCCGAACTAAAATCATTGTGTAAGGTCTGAACAAAAAGACTCCTCTTGCACCACAGAAGGATTTGAATTGTGAAACGTCTGCACCATAAAGGATACAGACAGTCACAGGTATTCCTAGCTTATTCCTGTTTGTCATGCGAAAACGTAAACTTCTTCCAGTTGTTTATATTCATCCTGTTTTCCTCTCTATAAACCCTGGGTTCAGGGTGCCGCCACTGCAGACCCCCACACGGATATATATCTATATATATATATATGTGTATATATTTACATATTTATATGTATATAACGTGTGTAAATATGTATATATAATATGTTGCAATGCCGCCACCAGAAATATATGTATATATATATATATATATGTTTGTTTTGTACGGGCTGCGATGAGAGGATTCTGACTGTGGAGGCCAGCGCAGATTCCGCACAATCATCCTTTTTGTGAAATCGTTTTTTGTAAAGTCGCCACAAAATTTAACCCTTTTTGTAAAGGCTGCTGCAAAAAGGCTTTCAGGCTGGAAATAAAGACCGTTACAAGAATGCCTGGCGTTTTCCTGTATTTCCATGTGAAAGCAATATTGTTTTCATGCGGGTTGCTGGTTTGTGTCTGGTTCTCTTCTCCAGCTCTGTTGGGCGCAAGGTGCCGCCAGTGCTAACCCCCCACAACTACACCCTTTTTGCAAGGCCGCCACAGAAATAATCCCTTCTGTACAGGCTGCTGTGAACGAGCGAAATGCCATACGCCAGAGCGCGTGGGCAAAAGAGGACCATGCCAGCCAAGGCTCACCGCTTTGCGGGGGCGGCTGCACGCCGGCTGCCTCTTAATTCACACCGTGCGCTGCTTGAGGACAAGGGTTGAGAGGGGGAGGAGGAGGAGGAGGAGGAGGAGGAGGAGGAGGAGGAGGAGGAGGGAGACACGCAACATCAATCACAAATCTGCGCCAGGCTGCTGGCTCACATACGCGCTGCATTATTGCCTCGTCCGAAGAAAAATGCGGTGCGACAGCTTTGTACAAGCACTGCGCCCATGCATTTTTTGGCCGGCCTCGTGCTCGGGCACATGCGTCTGTAGCTGGCCGCGCGCTTCCGGGTTGGAAGGTGAGGCGGCGCAGAAAATCAAAGTCTGTCGCCCTACATACTTTCCCATACCACAACAGCTGATGCCTCAGAAGTTGCACTGTGTAGCGCTGTTGGCCTGCTTGCAAGAGCACTTGTTCGTTTTATACTCTTGAAATGTATGCGTGAGGAATGTGCAGGATTCGACGTAGGCACCTCGCTTGGAAACCGTCTAATCTTCTGCGTTCAGCTTTGTTAAGCCATGCCGATTTCAGCGAATACATGACCTTATTAGTCACCAGCGCTTGAAATACTTGAAGCTTTCTGGTAGTACTGATTGCCGCATGCTTCCAGGCGCGGTTGTGTCTGCAGAACTCACCCCATGCGGCTCCTAACCTTTTTCCCAACTCCCCGCGCAGCTGGCCAAAGTTTGAAAGCGTGGCCCCGAGGTAGACCATTGTGTCTTTTGCTGGGATTTGCTCGCCAGAAGGCGTCAAGAGCGACATGTCGCAACGAACCGGCATGAGTTGAAATTTATCCCAATGTCGTTCCATGCCAACTCGTGCACCTGCTTTAGAAATCGCGCCCAACAGACTTTGTAGATGGTGTGGATTGCGACCCGCGAGCAAGGTGTCATCCGCGTACAACAATATACTCAAGGACCCGTCTGCTACAGCTCGTCGTACTTCCGCGTCTCCGTGGTGCGTGGCGCTCCGCAGTACCATCGTCATTACCATAATGAATAAGAACGGCGAAAGTGGGCAACCTTGTGATATCCCAGATAATTGCTGTCGTTCTGATGACCGGTGTCGTCCATCCGCCACGCTGAATTTTCTGCCCTCGTAGATGTGGCCAATACTTGTAAGGACGCGCCGAGGGACTCCAAATTTGTGCAAAGCTTCCAGCAGCGCCTCGACGTTCAACGAGTCGAAAGCTTTCTTCCAATCCAAAGCGACAAATGCAATACCTCCTCGTTTGTCTGCGTAAGCCAAATCAATATACCGGCGAACAGCGTGTATAGCATCCGATGTCCCGCGCTCTCGTCGGAAACCGAATTGCGCCGGCGATAATTTGTCCTCTGCCCCTGCGTTTTGTAGACGCCGAAGAATAAGACTAGCTATGAGCTTGCGCGCGACGCAGAGTAGGCTGATAGGGCGGTAGTTGTCGCAGTTGTCGACGGCACCTTTGTTTTTATATATCGTTGAGATAATCGATTTCTTCCAATCGTCCGGCACGGCCTCCTCGTTCCAACATGTGTTGCACAGGTCTGTAATCCACTCCAGTCCGCCTGGGTCTGTAGCAATAGCCTTCCAGCACTCTGCTGGGATATCGTCGACACCAGATGCTTTGCAACGTTTGAGTTGCTTGATTGCTTTGCCAACCTCCTCTTTCGTAAAGTTTGCTTCCGAAGCCGGCAATGGATCTCCAGGTGAGACGTCTAGAAGCTCTGCTGTCCGTACTTTCCACTGCACTTTCTCCAGGTACTCAGCCATTGTCTCTGCTCTTTGTGCGTTGTCCACTAACTCCCCACTCATATGTCTTAGCATCCCTTGGCGTCGTGGCTTAGGCCGGCAATGCTTTTTCAGAGCGTCCCAGCTGCCTGTCGAAATTTGCTCATCAACCCAAACTGTTTTATCTTGCTTGCACGCGTTGCGCACCGCTTTCATCAATCTTCTCTCCTCGGTTATGTCGTTGGCCACTCGGGCCTCGGTGCGGCGGCGAATTAGATCAAGAGTGCGTTGTGTAATCCATGGCTTGATGCTCTCCTCCTGGCGCGTCGGGAGCGCGCTGGCAGCAATTTGCGTTGCTATTTTTCTTCTTTCCCACATGTCTTGAAT